TTCAAATTGTCTTGAAACTTAAAAGAAAATTGTTCTTTAAAAATTAACTGAAAACCAGTAGCTAAGATTGTTTGTTTAGGTGTTATTTGATTTTCGTGTTAACTTGTAATTTTGTCAGTCGCCGGCGTCTTCTGTTGCTTCACACAGGAAAAACACACGATACGAAACTTAATGATCGATTTTGTCCTCAATCTCACGCCATAACAGAAAAAGCTTTTGAACATATGTAAACTCCGAGCGCTTCGCAGTAAGTGAAATTTTCAATGAATCTTCGGATTGTTTTCAAGTTCAAGGATTGTAAATTACAATTTTATGAAAAACGAAGGTTGTTCTGTTATTTCGGTGTGAATCCTTGCATGCCTGCCAGTCGCTGGCGCCGCTTGTTGAAACTAAAACGAAAATAAAAAACTCTTTTAAGATTATCATCTGCTTCTTTTTCACCCCACCACTATTCTTAGGTCGCCATTTCGTTTGTTTATTGCTCGCCAAAAACTATCAAATGCACTCAAGAACATAAAATCGAAAAAAAAGTTTACAGGAATCGACCAATCGAGCGAGCGAGCGAGCGAGTGCCATTCCCCACATCATATCTACAACTCGCTCTTGCGCATGCGCGCAATTCACGAGTTAAAAATGGGGTAAAATTTAAAGTGCTGTGACAATATTATAAGATGCAAAAAATGAGATGATAAACAGTGAATGTTTTCAATACAGTAAATGTTGATATAGTTGTTCATTGATAACTTGATGCTTACATTATAAATATGAGTGAGTATTATGTTAAGTCGATTGTATGTTAAAAATAAAAGCAAATAAAATGAGATTCTATTCAGAGTAATTTATTGTGTTAGAGGAATATAATCATTTCAATAACTCAACAAAACCCAGTAATGTCATAAGATCAGGCTCTCAATAGGATATGATTCTAATAAAATTTAAGTGATTACGACAAAGGTCATTTGATGACATGGAGAGAGCTTTTTTCCTCCATAACGAGGAGCAGTTAAAGTAAGTTCTAAGACCTTTCCTCAGTCCATGAACGCGTACATTATATATTTTGGTTTTCCCTGGGTGAAAACGTCCGCAATCTTTCCGTACTATTTCATTACTATATCGTATACGCATTCCGCTGAAAGTTATTTGAGCGTCCTAGGGCGCCCTATATTCTGCTAAAAAAGAGCTTATTTTCATGAAAATCTGGTAACGAGTTTGTCGTGGCAACAGCCTTCATAAGAGGCATCATTTTATTTTTTGGCTTTTTTAGGCGAGCGTAAGGAGAGCATGATTTGCTGAGACTGGAAACCCAAGAAGCCCAAGTAGTCGCAAAAATGAGTTTACTGAAATCTCTTTAGAGGAACCAGCCTTGCAGCTGGCACTTATTATTACAGCACACCGGTACAGGGAGACCCCTTGCACGTCAGAGTCATCAGGGGACGTGAACTCAGAACAGTGCAGAAAGACCAAAAGACTACTTTGGGACACAGTGAAAATTCCAGCTTTGATATCTTTATTGTAAAGTGAACCTAATAGGTACTTCCATATATAGCTGCTTGAAAGTAATCATGGATTTGCCCTCGCTAAATTGATCTTCTCAAGTCCAAGGTCATTGACTCGCTTTAATTTGGCGTCACTTAAAGAAATGTCCTGTTTCAGATGCTCGTTAGTGACACCTCATATTAAAGTAGTCTTCATGCGAGCTGAGTAAAAGTGTAGTTATTCTCTGCATTCAGCATTCGATGCTCTTAAGATGTGCCCCAAAATTGTCGGACATGCAATAAATATCCACATGAAAGATCAATATCCACATAAAAGAATGAACCTATCTTCTTCACTTCGCTCACTCTTGAGAGATGTTATCAATACTTGCGGGTAAATTTCGTATCTACGCCCGACAATGCATATCTCCTATCAAGTACATACCACACAGGTAAATAGGGCTTATCGCACGTGCTAATTGGTACTAGTTATTTCTGAGCAGCAGATGAAACAAGAGTCTGAGAGTAGAGACTGATTTCCGACCATTTTTCGGCATAGTGACATAAATAAACAAATATTTTGGTAAACAGTTTTTAAATATCCATTCCATATCCTGCTGCTATTGCATTTTCAGTGTCTCATATATTCACACAACAGTTTCCAATTCAATCTCCTCGCTATGTTTCTTGCCATTCGACGAAGTAATCAACTTCCTCTGTTGTGAATCAACTTTATTGCTTGTGCATGCAAAGCTCGCTGAAGAAGTAGAGCTCCGCTTCAGGACGATCAGTTTAAAAGCCACAAGGAAGTCTCTTTTAAAAAATGTGTACAGCAAAGGATTGACAACTGAGGTTGTATACCTGAAAATAACGACCCACCGAGATATCTTTTGCAACTCGACTAAGGTTTCCCCACTGACAAACCAGAAAGAAACGTATAAATAAAGTATGAACCATGGCAACCAACATACCACGTATATAATCGCCATCAGAGCGAAGATGATGAGGCATTTTTTGTCGTTCTTTGCTTTCCGCTGAGCAGCCTTGGTAGCAGTCAGCCCCTGTCTACCACTTCTTGCTATAAATTTAAACATGATAGTCTGGGAAGTAACAATCAGGACGCATGGAATCAGAAAGACAAAGGTCAAACAGAAGGCTACATAGCCAACCTTTACCTTCATGAAGGAGACTAAGTCTGTGATGCGCAGTGAGTCCCAAGCGTACGGCATAAATCCAATAATGAGAGCCACGACCCATACCAGGAGAGCGACTTTAAGCATCGCTTTTTTTGTCAGTTGACGATGAACAAAAGGCTTCTTAATACTGTAATATCTCTCTAGCGTGATTGCAAGAATGTGATAGGCAGCTGACATGGCCACACAGTTGTTCAACAGGTAGTTAAAGCTCCCAATGTGCGGGTTTGGCATGACTCCAAGTGCGACTACCAAGAACAGAGGTATGCATACGAAGCCGTTCGTAAAATCGCACACAGCTAAACTCAGCAGAAGGCAGTTACTAGGACTTCGAAGCCGCTTGCTTTTCATAAACAGGAAGAAAACAGTGCCATTTACTATGATGATGATGATAGCAAAGGGCAGAACCTCGTAAAGGAGTTCGTATCCTGCATTTTGCTGAACTTTAATGACATCTGATCCAACAGACACGTTTGGACTGCGTGAAAAGTTCAGTCTCTTTACTTCACTGCCCTGTGACATTTCAGAATCACTCGATGAAAACAGCTTCAATTTTTATACTCCTGTATTTCCTTGTTTTTAAAATATTTGGTGGCTGAAAACTTTGTCTCTATCGACCTCACCAGTAGCTTTCCTGTTGAAATAATCAAATGTTGGAATGAATAGATTTTCTTTTACTTGCTTATTGGTATAGTGTTTATCGCAGGTTATTAAGAAAGTAATTTTCAAAGATTTTCTTGCATACCCCTGAAATTCGCCTCCAACGAATCTTATGTTTAGTGACTTTACTGGCGTGCCCCCGAAAAATCAAGCCAAGAGGTTCAGATATTTGACAAGCTCGCAGAAGCTGATTGAATCGTCTGGTAGGCATGAAGCATATTACAGAAAACAAACTTCTCAAACATTGCCGCATCTCAGGTTCATCTTTTAAATGAACTGTGTCTGCGTTGATCTCATGAGCTCCATTCTATCTGGCTCGAAAAGGAACAAGTTTTTAACCTCAGCCGTCGTTTGTAACCCACCACCTGTCTTAATAGCCCTCAACGTTGTCATTAGCAAATTACAGATGTATATGGTCAGATTGAATATTGGCTTGTTACAACCACAGAACAGTTATATTCTTTAGCAGTCAAAACCGCAGGCTAAATTACTTTATTTTTCAACCATAAAGGAGAGGTCATGTAATCACTTAGTGATTAGTATAAGATTAGAATTAACGGAAAATTGAATATCGCCAGGATTAGATATGCAAAATTCATCATTCAAAAAACTAGAAAACAGTGTGCGTTTAGACCAAGTCTAACAAAAATGATGAGTGTAATGGCCTGCTCATATCTTCACATCTGTGATCATTTGCAACTGTGCTTCGAAAAGTTGTATTTATAAAAGGAAAAATTTTATACGGAAAAAAAGTCAATACATTTAAACGGTGTGAATTCGTCCTTTGATTTGCGAAAATCAATTCCATTTTTTAAAATAAAATGGTAAACATTCTGGGGCCAAAAACGTGACTTTAATAATCTTCAGTTTGAGTTACATTTGTTTATCATTTTTCTGATTCAGTCCATTTCCTATGTTAAAATAAAGTCACTGTCGAAACGCTGGCGATCCGTAAGTTTATTATTATCGCTTCTGTCGGATCAATTCCCCCTAATGCGACTTACTCGTTAGACTTGCGCTATCTTTTACGCTAATCATCAAAGAGATCTTCAGTAAAGATGGTATAAATGCCATATGCTAGTTTCTAGCCAACATAAACTACCAACCGTGAAACCATCTGAAGAAAGCAACGAACTCTAAATCTGTCGTCTATATCCCATCCGTTCCAATCTGGAGGTGTATGTAAAGACCTCATAAGGAAGCAGTGATAGGTTCCAGCCCCAATTAGCAGTCACTCTTTTTTTCGATATAAGCTAAACAGTAGTTCAATTGAAACTGGAAAGAATTAAGGTGATCTAAGTGCATACACGACCATCACGAAGCACAGCGTCATCGAATGACCAATTTGATTTAATTCTATGCCCGGAAAATATTTAAATAAATTAGTGCGACCATCTTTAAATTTGTCCCGCTAGGCTGTATGCCGCCGGCTATCTTTACCTACCGTTATTTTCTGTTTCTCGCTCTGCTCTATCAACCACCCTACTGACTCCATGGTCGATTACTCACAGTATTTGCTCTTTGAAAAAGAACTGATATCTGAATAAAACCGCTAAGTAACTAAGAAACGGCAAGGGAAAAAAAATCAGCGCTCGCCAAAGGTGAAATCGTATTCATAAATTTATATCCTATATTCAACAAAATGGTGTTCTTGGATTCTCTAGAAATTTTTAGCTACGGAGCTAATAAGACAGTATTCCGAGTACTTCTTTAATCAAAATGAAATGACTTATTTGCATAGCTAGAGTCAAAATGAAATAAATAGCTTTTCTTCGTAAATATCGACTCCTATCAATGAGCCAATATCTATTTCAACAGATAATACATGTAACGGAAACGTGATAGCGAGGAAAAAAACTATGTAGAGTTTGAATCAACCGCCATTTATGGTTTACCTCCTAACTTTTCAAGTTCTCTTCTAGGGGTTGCATCTTTTTCAACACATGTCTAACATTCGTCTTCTGCGAAAAAAAAGAGATAACATATATCAGCCTAAGAAGGTGTCATTTTCACGCACATGAAAGGTAATTTTCTACATTCCGGAACGACTCTCCACGTTAACTTGGAAACTGAAACTTAAGGTAAAGGCATTGTTATCTAAAGGCTGTTTGTATTTCTGTAAAATGATGGCAGGTGAGGGATGGCTAGCAGCTCTACAGATTGGTGTTGTGTTCTAACACGGTTTTGAGCCAATAATAGGGCTACTCCTCAGTAACCAGAGGGGGTATCAGGCTATCGAATGTCACGCCTCATCTGCGTTTTAGACAGTAACTTGATTGGAATTTTAAAACAGTAGAAAATTCTGGTATTCGAAAATGGATATGCTCGCTCATGAAATGCACATTGAATGGTCTGTTGTAGAAGTTTCATACCTCTCTTGCAAATTAAAATTTTTTCCTTTTAGCCTCGTTCGAAAATTTTCATAACTGAAATGCAGCTAACGCAACATGCTTTCCAAAGAGTTCCGTTGCCCTTAACGAGATTAAAGGATTAAGGAGGAAAGCCCTGGCGGTCTCTCAACCCTTAGGGGTCTAAAAATCTCAGCAGATCAATGTCCATCTTGGCGAGAAGCGGCGGTCCACAAGCAGATGTGTCCTGTACATGCAAAATGTTTGGTTGTCTACCATCAACAAGAAGATAAGATAGAAGAAAGCTTAAATGGTCCAGAACATTTTTGTTGTATGCGGCCTATCCCGCGCTGAAGCGAGATTGCGACTGTGTTTAGCTTTGTCGCTGATCTTTGTTGCATCACATTTTCTGCGGAGTAATTCCGTGTAATGAAGCAAATGAATGAAATATTTGCAGTTTTCGAATTCATCTTTAAGTTTCCGACTGTTTTTTGTTATTTCATTGACAAAATTTGATCATTGAGGAGTGGCAACTTACATATTCAGATATACGAGCGAAGAACCGAGAAAAAGGTTTTTGTTTTCAAGAATTCACATCTGTCAGCGGTATGAAAAACTACGAAACCAATTCCACTTTGATATTCACTTATTTCACTTCTACTGACCCGTCTACAATCCTACGGAGAATATAGCTCAAAATGTTAAAATATAAGAGATGAATTAATGGTGATTCGTATTGTTTTGCAGTTCCCCTCAAAATTTACGGCATTTTTTATCTAATAAGTAGTTCGTAAGAACTAAGTGTTTCAGTAGCCCACCGGTGCTGGACAACGGTCTGCTTAGAATCTAATAATTTTGTTGATCAACCCAGGAAAGCGTTTCTTCAGAGTCTATACCCAAGGTGATTTGATCGTGAGATAGCACTATAGAGTGACTCTTTTTTTAGCTTTTCTTTTCGCTTTTTCAGACGATTAACTAAAAGAAGCGCATATGATGATGGTACCATGCTGTTACAACCGACATGTTGATTTCCTAAGTACCTGTTTGTGTTTTACCTGAGGCTAGTATAGCCGTAGGACGCACGCCAGAACTCAGTGGTTATTTTTATAACAATGCAGCCCAACAGCCATCGTGTAAATTCCTGTCGCCCTTTTTGCCGATAAAAAACTTGAGACCCAATAGCTTACGTTACAGTGTTTAGGAACAAAAACTGTAACAAAATTTAGATGGAAACGGTTTATAGATCTGAAACTTCGATCCACAATAACAATAACCTGATTACTCATATAGCACAAAATAAATGTGCATATGATCTATTGCACTTAAGACAGACTAGCATTTGGAGGCGTTTATAGTGTTTATCGAAAGGTGTTTTTAGAAATCATATAAAACGATAGCAATAAGGTGTAAATGAAAACCTTCCCCGTAGTCATTTAAGCTTTGCTGGATATTGAAATAACAAGCACGGCCCGTCAGTGGCCCGCTGTTTAGTGGCATCCTTAAGACGAAATTTTTCGGTTAATGATTAGATTTTAAAACAACTCTTTCGAAGTAACACGATTATAAAATTCATGTCTAAAATATGTTGGAGAGTAAACCATTTATCAAACTTACACACTCAATACAACGAATATGAATTTGAGATATGCGAATCGTCCAAGAGGGAACTTGAAGCGTACCCACAGAGAATTTAACCACAGATGCCGTAAGGAGTTGTTTCAAGCCCTTCTTCGTTCTATAAGTTTTTCCTCATAAGAAGTAACGGATGATGATGGCTTCTGATGAAGTTGAATTTATAGTCGACATGATAATTCATGACCATCATGGCAGACTATGGCACGGATCATGGCATGACTATGGCACATGTCCAAGATTTAGCCATTGACATAAATAAAGAAAGAAACCATAATACTTTCCTCTTTGCCAAGTAATGTGTCATTGTCGTAAATATTAGGAGGAAAAGTCACTTTTCATTAACTTACGTTCTTGATGGGACTATGAAATGTGCCTTTCTGACTTTTCCGTGGACAAAAGGCCACCAGATGGCTGAAGTGTTTCCATTCCGATGAGAAGGAGGAACACTGTTATGTAAATACCTGTCAACTAAACAATCAACTCCCTGCGTGAAAAGTCAATCATGTGTCATTCAAGGTTTCTAAAAGTTGAATTACTCTGAATCGTGACTGGCTAAAACGATTTAGCATTTCATTTTCCAGGGGAAAATTTGACCTTCGAGATAAATTAGAAATCAGTTTGTTGCGTGAATTATCGAGGGACAAAATTTGGCAACCGTGAATATGATAACGAATGTACTTTCGTTCATTACTGCGACTCCAGCGTGATCACAGAATCTTTTTCTTTCACTTTTTCAGTTGTCAACTATAAAATATGTATGTACGTCTTTGCAGGCTTTATTGTAGTTAGCAGTTGTTCAAGAGGTGTTTTCAAAGTTGTGTTTGAGACATGGTCCTCTATGTTTAGTTATTACTGATTTTCTGACAAACACTGAAAGTCTCTAGTTATAATAATAAAAATGTGGCTCAGAAGTGTTTCCTTGCACAAACAGTTGTCCTTACAGTCAATCGATTCTCAATCTTTTTTTGTTAATCAACTAAGTCTGTAGATTCACTGTTTCCTTGGCGATTAAATTATATTGAACGATTTAGCAATAGTTGTTTTTCATCATTAATTGAACACATAGGCTAAGTATTTGAATATCAGGACTCTACACTCGTGTTTATCATTCAAAACTAAAACCAGTAATCATCAGTCAGGAAATAGTTTTTATGGCAAGTTTTGTTCATTGTAGAACGAACTAACTGGAATTATCCAAACTTTTCTCTGCGGTGGAAAACGAAGGGCATTAAGCCGTGATGATCTACACGAGGATTGAGAAAGACTTGTGGAACGGCCCTCCTTTAGTGGCTGAGCAAATGCTGGCTCCTTATTGGTAGTAAGAAAATCTTTTGCACCATTTTACCAAACCGATAAGCAGCAAGACCAGTTGAAATTGCCAGTCCACTATGTTAATGTACGACGCCTACACGAAAATAACATTTCCACCCTTGTCTCTGGTTTGCTCCAACTATCATGGTCCTCTTCGAGAGGGACTGTTTTGATTGCATTCAGGCTACAACTGATCTATTGTTGACGTAATCTAACACCACTTACCACAATATTGCACGCCACTGTAACGATGTCTGCGATCAATTCCTTCACTAAATTTCTTAACTGCGTCTTCGAGAAGATTGCGATCGATCCTCCACTCTTTTAGGCTGTGAAAGTAATTGTTGTCATGCAAGGAAAACTAAAATGAAGAAGAGAAGCATGCTGTGTGCCGATTGGTGCTTTTTTCTCCAATCAGAGCCGGCGCTCACCACTTTTGACCGTACTAGGCTGAATGCTTCTTCATAGCTAAGTGTTATTGTAGTAGACTATTTAAAGGTAGCGGAATTCCTAAGTTCGTAGTTTAAATTTTTTCTCTGTGGGATTGACAGTAACGTTTTTTAAAATAATTTTTTTTAACGTTTGACTATTTAATGTGAACTTCACTAGATACTGATTCAAACCGATCATTGATTTGTAACGATTATGTTCAGAAACACGATATAACGTCACATACTAATTCCATTTCTAAGCTGTTTGAAGTTCCTATGAACTTACAGCAAAAAAAGCAATTGCGAGTTTTCCGATAAGCGGCAAAAGGCAATTAAAATTAATATGTCAAAGTGTCAGACAGGCCCATGCCTTTGTCGCCAATAAGATTTAGCGAGACAGAAGTGCATTAAGGATATTCTAATTTCTCAAGAGTAATTTCCTAAAAGATGATAACATTTTTTCTTTACTTAATTTGGTCACAGAAAGTAGCAGATGGAAAGTTTCGTATTAATCAGGTGATAAACTGCTAAACAGATCTTTCAGAGCTGTTAAAAAGGAGCAAATGTTATTGGCAGAACAGATCTTATTGCCGCTATTGATTTCGAAAAACTTCGAAAGGTCATTTTTTTGCTTGTAACAAGATTCTGGCGTTTTAAAAATGACTCGTCTCGATTGTCACTAAATTTGTACAATTTGGCTTGCGTTCAAGTGTTCGTTACCTGTATGACACATCCTAGGCTAAGCTTTACAAAATAATGATTTATCCGTATTTGAATGCCTTTCTTACCGAAAAAAAAAAAAGCGTAGTTAATTTGTCTTTTTTTAATTGCCTAAAGGTAAACCCAGGAAATTAATGAATTATTAATGGTCTGTATTTATTTACAAGATTTCCCAAAAGTTCTGAATTCGATAAAGGACGAAAAAAAATGAATTTTTTGACCACTAACTATCGAGTATTTACCTTGTTTATCGATAGCTCTCCCTATAAAATGATGCAAACAACAAACCTCAACTATGTCTAAAAACGTTTCGGCAACAAGTAGGAAAAAGTTCAATGATAACAAATCGCACCGCGTTTTTTCTTATTTAATTTTGTATCTTTGTTCTTGTTCTTTTGTCATTTCAAATTATTTTATTTTTGCTTTTTTTCAAAGCATATGAATTTTCGAGACCATCTTTATTTTCCATAAATCCGAAGCCGCTACGATCGGCAATTATAGCCTGTTTTCAAGCCTCTGTTTATACATTGTCGACTTAGATATCCGATGCTGACAGCTGACGGATCCTTCATGGTGAATCCTATCAAAATATGAACTTTGTTGCTATCGAAGCCTGCCCATGTTAGCATTGGGGGAACCTGGAGATTTAGTCCTCTAAAAGGCGTATTTTTAAGTGGCACCAGTAAAGTCATTGCTCTGATTTGAAATTTATTTGTAGATCCTCCTTCAGTACTGACATCAATTTTTCGAGTGAAACAAAGTGGCGAAAAGACGTAATAGCAGTAATAAGTTCGGTCAAAGTACAATCTGATTGTGAAACTGAGTTTAAAAAAAAAAGTCAAAGAAAGACTCACCTTAATCTTCACTTTTGAATCGTGAATGGAACTGGTCCAGCTGTATACAACAAATCAATCTGGGTTCACAAACTAATCATCACCGGTTAAATCAAAACTACTAAACATGGAAATTCTGAATACCTCTTTCATAAGTGATTCGAGACACAGGGAGACAAAGTGGTTTGGTCCAAATGTTAAATGCCAGCTAATCTAGGCACTGATCACATGCCTTTCCGTTAAACACCTCGGGACTCGTTTGAAATAAAAAAAAATTGGGATATATAGTTATTTAAGTGACATTTATGTGACGAATGCTTTTTATCGCTAACGTATGACTTAGTGCATCAAATGGTTATGTTCAAAATGAGCGTAAATCATCAACTCCGTCATCTTTGAAATCAGAATTTATGATGATTTTGAATTTTCAGGATTGACAAATGACTCACAAAAAAAGTTTTTCTGACATATGTTTTTCTTTGCGATGATATGTCTTACATTTTTTGCGAGAGCTAGGAAAAGCTCTCTTGAGGATATGAAAGTTAAATAACCGATCATAGTGCATGAGATAAGCATGAGGCTTCTTCTAAAAGATAATCGACAACAGAAATTTCACTGCCTCGATCATTGTTTCATAAAATTTTCATCAGTTGAAGAGGCTATTTAAACCGAAATTACCACGAAGGCTTGGCAGTAATCTATTAGCTACTGAAGGCAATAAAATGCCAAAAACTTTATCTACTCTCATGACACAGATGACATTTGTACCTTATAAAACCAATTTTTATCATGAGAGCTCGCTAAGTCACCAATAAATAACATCTGCGATCAAAAATGCCATAACGAGCACTTCATTCCATGCCAAAAGTTATAAAATAACTTGGTTCATCTTCGGAACAATAGTCAATTACCTTCTTACACTTACCTTTCTTGGAACGTGAGCAATCTTTTAGAAGGATCTAATACAAACAAAGAGTGCTGAGTTTCCAAATGAACACGAAAGCGATATAAAGTCAAGAACATACAGCACCTGACTCAATTCTAATTGAATTAGTCCATTAGTGCCATTTTAGGTATTACCATTACATCTTTACCTAGCCTTTTTCATTAATAGAAATGGACAACTTTTAAAAACGTTTTTTAAAAGCTTTTAGCATATGAAACACATTATATTCGCCAATTGGTTGAGGCAGTTTCTTTCATTTTTATTTCGAGAATTAGCAAATCCAGATTAATCGATATCTTAAACTTAAAATTGGAATTTATTCTTTTTAACCGATAATCATTTTTATTGGTTCCCAAGGGTTGTAAAAATAATCTGATCAATCTTATGATCCTAATTTTCAGACAAGTAGTATCTTATTCGTACTGAGCTCCTCTGGCATCAGGTGCGTGAGATGCACCATCACAGGGGCTCAAATGCAAGACGGAAGAGATTTGAATTAAACTTGGCAAATCGATTAATACAAGTTTTCCTGCTTTTCATAGAATCAGTTCTCGATGAGAATGCATTTTAGGAAGTTTTCAAAGGTGCTTTTTTACGGGTCGTCAGCTTTGTGAATTTAGGGAAACGGTCTAAACAATCATTTTTATACACTACAAATCGTCAGTTTTTTAATAGCTTGCTCTAGAAATGTGCAATAAATATGTCAGAATGATCGCGGTCAAGTAGCAGAACAGGTGAAAGCCCTGTTCCAAAACCTGACTGGAAATAGTAACTAAACCTTGAAATGAGGAGAACCGTTGAAGCGCTCATTCGGCTCCGACGAAAATTTGCCGAGGTCAGATGATCATGGTGAAAGTATTCCAACTTTACATTCAATCACCTGCTACCTTACTCCACTAAATTTGAGTATGTAACTCTTTACCCATTTTAGGTTGAATTAAGAAAGTTTACTCAGCTGCTCCTCCGTGGGCTGATATCACGATAAGCTCTCGAAAGCTTTTGAGTAAACCATATCTCTTAAGTTCATGATTCAACCTAACTTCCTATGTCATCGGATTTACTCGACTCGAAAGCTGTGACTCTTAACCCATTTTGGGTTGAATTAAGAACGTTTACTCAGCTGCTCCTCCGTGGGCTGATATCACGATAAGTTCTCGAAAGCTTTTGAGTAAACCATATCTCTTAAGTTCATGATTCAACCTAACTTCCTATGTCATCGGATTTAGCAAGAACCTTCTTTTTTGCAAAATGTAAATAGAAACCATGTAGAATTTCCATTCTGGTCCAAAAAACAGTTGGTATTTAGAAAGATAACTATCCTTTACGTGTCAACATGTTCAGATGTGTTTCATATCCACGCAAACTTACAAAATGGTCTGAGGAAAATTGTTTGAAAATATAAAAATTTCGAGAACCATCAGTTTTTAGATATGTTTTATGCGTGACTAAATGCCAAAGAAAAGAAAACAGAAGGAAAAGTAACTCAAACTGTAAATGTTAGATTGACGTGGTTGACTTTTTGATTGAAGAGAGTATTTTCACAGTTGAAATGCACAGATTCTTTAAAATTACACTGAAGTTTTTCTGGAGCTAGAATCTTTAATTTCGAAGCAATGTGCAGAGCAGGACCTAAGGAAAGCTTCTCAATTTTAAATATGTGAAAGGACCTCTCACTGCGATGTCTACGATGGTTATAAATATTATTTCCGTTGATGTAGCAAACCGTTACAGTATGCACAAGTACAATTTTTGTAATAAACTGAACAACACAGTGCTGAGTTTCAAAATGTTTCTTACCAGCGCCTTGGAATTAAATTAATTGGAATTATCCAAATCAGTTTTACAAAATTCGCCTCAGCGGTTGTCGCGTAACTTGATCAAATATCGTTAAAAAGTTGTGGTCAATTTACCACCGTAAAACCTCAGGGCATAAACCTCACAGCAAGACTCATTGAACACAAGCAAACGATAAAAAAATGGTGATGTTATTAATCAAATTGCTTAACTGGAGCTCTGTGCAGTACCTTACCTACTACACAAACAATTTAATGACTCTGGAAAGGTAATTCACTTTCTTAAAACAGACTACGCTCAATACATATGCACCATACAAACGACTTACTTAGGACATTTAAACCAAAAACGAACCGGATAGGACAACCCAACATTACCGACGGGTCGAACCCGACCAATCACGACTGACTTATGCCACTTGAGACTTAAAACTAACCTATCAGTTTACACGAACCGGACCTAAAATATTCGACTGACACCGAGTCTTCACTGAACTCCGATGATGATTTCCGCTCAAGTTATCGAAACGCCATTCATTACCACCGACAACAGTCCTTCTCAGGACTACTCACACCTGGACGAGACTACTCGATGAAATGTTACCCCGCGTTCAAAACATGTACCATGTTGCAAAGTTAATTACGAGTAGTAGTCTAATAGGCTGCATGGTGTTTATTGTCGTTTTCTGTTGTGAAGTCATGGCAGAAACGGAATTCTTCCCTTCGTCTTGGAGTTAAAATTGTGTTGTACGCACGAAATTTAACGAAGTTGAATCTTTTCTGTTTGTTTTCAAAGATTCATCAGTCTAATGGATCATACAAAAAACAAAACAAACCACAAGAATATAAAAACATAAATTTAAGGATTTTCCGGTTTAGACAAGTTGATATGGCTGCCATAGTCAATTTAATCGGGTGATTACATAATGTTATTATATATATGGTTTTGCATGGCTGGGTAATGCAGCTCGGCTGGCTTGTTAGACCAAAGCATAGTTATTTAATCTCCTTGACTCCGCTAGTCTGATAAGAAACAACTTTTTGCGAAGGAGAAATTGACACGCTGAGAGCAGACAACATGGGCATCTGGCCGAACTCAACCCTTGAAATTTCTATTTATTTCGCTATCGCGCCTTTACCCTCCTCTGCCAGCCGCGAATATAAGCTACCGTTATTAAACTTCTACAAGGATAGAAAAATGAAAAGAGGAAAGAAATGTGGAATTATGTGAATTACCCCACAGGAGAAGAAATTGAAGAGCTAGACAGTAATTTATGCCTGGCACATGTATAAAGCAGTGAATATCGTGTTTAACCTCAAATTCTACTTTGAGTTTTTTTGGCAATTTTAAATACATAGCCTTAAATTAGAATACCACTCTTAATACAAGCGAGTTGAATCTTTGATAGAAGAGCAGCAAGGCAAAGCAATCTAAGCTTAAAAAGTGGTTCAAAAAACTGCTGACCTACTTAACTGAGCTGCATGCTTATTCAAGAGTATTGATTCATCGACATAAGTGAAATGAATAAACAACATGTGTCAGGACAGCTGGGCTTTTTCACAAGGCACGTGCGTTCTATTATTAAAGCAATTCAACCAAATCTGTTTGGTGTGCATCTCTGAGTACATATTGTGGCTATGTGACCATACAGGGGAAAATTGCTGCAACCGTAAGCCGAGCTTACACGGCCTCCTCTTGGCTACACTCCGAAATGAATCATTAGGAAGCAACAAAAGTTTGGTCTAAAAAGTTTAACAGCATGCACCTTTTATCTTGCCTGTAATATATTCCGATGTGAAATGTTTGTTTTAAGAACTAAATTCTCTCCACAATGGTAAGTAAACAGAAACTCGCGATCAAATCGATATTCACATGTTATGCATAATCGTTATGGACTTTTACGCTTCTTGACCAATAGCAACTTGTTTTTTTCCTCTCTTTTGTCTTCTCTTTTCTTTATTTTCATGTTTCCTGCGACAAGGCGTGCTAATGGTAAGAATCGGGCAGACAAACAGTACCCCGGCAGAAGTGTAAAACTTGTCAGCGTGTCCAATTTGTTGTTCTTTGAACAATGAAAAGCTTTGAAACTCTTAAACAAAGCACACGATAAAGAACAATTAACATAAATCATCATTACCGAGCACTAGTTAATTATAATTCGAAAAATTCCTTCATTTTCAATCAATTTAACTTCCTAAGGAGTAGGATTCAGTTGGCAATACTAATTTGCATAACTTAAGTTTAGGTTCTTGTGAGATCTTGTTGTGAAACAAACCCAGGCAGTCTCTTCCTTTCACTACAATTGCTAGAATTTTTCTG